TCACTTTCCTAAAAACACTTTTGATGATAAATTTTCAAACTATATTCATAATCACTTTAAAAATTATGTTTTTAAAACCAACAAATATTTTTGTGAATTCTCATTTGAAATTTTCTAAATTTTATTTCTGTCATATTTTGAGTGGAGAGATTTAGGGGTATGGAATGAATAATTGCTTCTCCTTCACATAATAAATAAAAAGTTACACTTGAAATAATACTTTGAAATGTGAAGTTTAATTTTTTTGTTTTGTGAAAACAATATCAAGTAGCAAAAGACAAAAATGCTTCACATGTTCTTTTTTCATTCTGGTCTGGGGTGAAGTATGTGAATCAGCACCACCGTTCTGAGTTTCAGAAGTTAGCATTATCTGAGAAGTTGCTATTTTTAGGTCCAACTGTAATGTTTCTAATTGTAGTGCTCAGAGTAGTGGGTGCTTTCTTTCCCAGAAGGCTTTGCATTCTCAACATGCACAGGTCAATTTCACATAACGCTACGGACAAGAAGCAGTAGGCCCTTTTGCAGGCTGTTTCTAACTGGAATATTATGAGCAGACATTGGGAGTCACAGGCTGTATTTGGGAACCAGCTGCATGTCAGGACAAGCATGGATTGTGGTCCCAGGAGGCTGAGAGAACACAATGATTAAACGTACTCTATTTGGGAGATAAGAAGAAAAGAGTATCTTTCTACTGACAAGATTGACACTGTCTTCGGAAGTGCGCTGACGGCTTGGAAAGTAACACTCACTTTCCAAAGATGATGATCAAGGAAACGACTTTGCGAAGGGACCCGGATTTAAGGGGAGAATTAGCTTTCCTAGCAAGGGGCTGTGATTTTGTTCTCCCATCTCGGTTTAAGAAGCGGCTGAAGTCATTTCAGCAGTCACAGGTTTGAAACTTGGGAGTTTCTTTTAAATATTTTAATTACTAACAAAACTACCCAGTAAACTAACACACAGATAATTTTATTACTCACTTGTATCTTGATATTAGGTCAAGGAATTTATCTGTATTCTCTATTCAGCTATTTGCAGAAAGCTATTTGTAGAGGAATTCCAGCAGGTTTAAAAATAGAGCTTCTGGGCCTGGAGTACAGTACTCACATTTTTATCCTGTAGGGAGGGAATCCTGTTTTGCAGACAATAAATACTACTTAATACTAGGAAATTCCTTATTTGTGAATTTAAATCAGTAGATTTTATTAAGATACAGCTATAATGAATATTTGTCTAAAAGAATATGGATCCTGATAATGCTTATAAAAACAGAGTATTTTCCTTTATTTATTAGTGTGTTGCATGATGTGTATGAGCATACATGCCATAATACACATTTAGACATTAGAGAAGAACTTTATAAAGTCAGTTCTTTCTTCCACCTTTATGTAAGCCCTGGGGATTAAACTCTGGCCACCAGGCTTGTGTGGCAAGTGCCTTTATCCACTGAACCATATCGCAGCTCCCAAAGATATTTTTATAGAGAGACAACTGTTTGTGCCTGCATACTGTGGGTGTGTAGATAATGGAGCCTAGCAGTTTCTCCTAAATTTTAAACAAATGCCTTCCCCTAGCAAGCCCATACTGAATGCTATGACTGCAGAGTCTCTGCTTCATTGCTGACAATCTTGGGCCCAGTGTCTCTCTTGCCACACAAGTTGCCTAACATGGAGTACAGTACAAATCAAGGACTACACAAATGCCAACCGTCCAAGTTCCAGCAAGGAACCATAATTTTATAGTTATTCTGACTCAGAAAAACTTCAGATTTGGGGGTTGAGGTATGTGACTTTCTTTTTACTTTCTGCATGTCAGAATGGCCAAATATTGGAAATATTATAGTAACAATATCAGTGACTGTTCAGAATGACTAAGTAATGTACTGATGCTAAAAAACTGAAGTAGAGAATTGAGATACTTTTTCCAACTTATTCTTTTTTTTTTTTCTAGTCCTATATTGGACCAAAACAGCTTTCCTAAAAATAAAGATATGTCAAACTGATTTGCCAGCAAATCAGGCAAAACTTGAAAGTTTTTTAAATCCATGTTCATAAAGTCAGTTTTATTATATTACTTTAAGGTTTAAATTATGTGTCTTTTAGTAACACCATTGCAAGTAAATTAATAGAGCTGAGAGTTCAAAATAAATGTATTCTTTTTGTTTTCTTTATTAACCAATGAATTAATAAATACTTTATTAGTCAGTTCTTTCACATTAAGAAGTATACACACAAGAGCATAGTAGGTCATCAGAAGTTTGCCCGCTCAGTTAACTTTGGCCCCCAGTATTTGTTCTGGATGTTGTTCCTCTGTTGTACAAATGCACAGTTAACATTGAAGGTCTTGCTCTAGACCTCAGCATGTGTCTGTACCCACTAGCACCAGTGGTCTTAATTCTAATTCCATAATTGCTCTGAAATTAAACCTAGCTTCCCTGGATATCATAGTATTGAAAACATTTTCAAGAAACTGGATTTTGATGATTGTATACTTACAGTCTCACAAACTTCCTTCTGCAGAAAATAATAAAATAGATGTCATACTAATATACGAGATCTAAGTAGTGCCTCTGAAGATCTGCCCTATTTCAGAATTTTAAGAATGCTCTATGGTGCTGCTGACTCATACAACTGTGTAATGATAGTTGCAGATTTAGTATTAAAGCAAAGAGATGTTTATTCAGACTAGATTATCACTTCGCTAAATCAAGAGAGGTTTATAAACTTTGGATTGCTTTACAAGTGGACATGATTATTATTGAATCTAAAGGACTGAGCCAAATTCTGCATTGTTTATAATCTTTTGAGAACCCCACTGTTTGGCTTTGTCACTCATTGCCTTTCACAAGGACAAATTTGTGCTCAACACTGTTTGGAATATTTTATCTATGTTGCAATCTATTATTTCCGTAATTCCCCACAATCTTCAAAAGAATGGAGATTGTGATTTCTGTTTATTACTGAAATTCTAAAAGATTAAGTATCTCTCCTGAGGTCACAGGCTAGTAATCCTGTTCACTGTTTACTCTTGTTTTTTTTTTAAATGATTTATTTACTTTTATTTTATATACATTAGTGTAAAGATGTCAGATCTGTGAAGTTACAGACAGTTGTGAGCTGCCATGTGGGTGCTGGGAATTGAACCCGGGTCCTTTGGAAGAGCAGACAGTGCTCTTAACCACTGAGCCATCTCTCCAGCCCCTACTCTTGTATTTTTATGTTCATTGGGCCTCATTCTCTTCTCTGTTATTCCTTCCTAGGCTGTGGCTTTATGTGGGATCACTGGTCAAGCATTAGGAATAGCAGGGCAATTTTCAAAAGAAAGAACATTTGAATAATACTTTGTGTTCACAGTAAATTAAAAACGAAACAAAACAAAAACTTTGGTAGGTCTGAGGAGGAAGCTCAGTGGCAGAGAACCTGCCTACCATCCACCAGTAGTAGGTGAGACTTCTAGAGTAACTCCCCACACAAAACCTAACTATTCAATAACTAGGTCTGTCTTTCCTGCTTTATGTAGTATCTAATACATTGCAATGCTCATGACCAAGGTCATCCTTGACCATCTAGTGAGAGGTCAAAGCCTGCCTAGGCTACATTTGAGACTTTATATCAAAAAAAAAAAAAAAGTAAAACAAACTCTTACCTGAGTGATGATATACCTCCCTTGACATTTTCCTCCACCCTGAGTATATCAAGCTCTCTAATGCCTCAGCATGCCCCTTTTCACTGTCCCTTCAAATGTCCCATGAAGCAACTGCATCAAGTGCTTTGGGGAAAGGAAAGATGTGAGTTATAAATTAACATTTAATTAACTGTAAAGACTGTTTGGTGATGATGAAATTAGTGACCATCATTCTTCCCTATTAGAGCATACCAAAAGTGAGTTAAGTGTATATCTCAGTGAAGACAGCCTGCTATCTTAGGGGAGGGGGCAAACAAACAGGCCAGACATTTTTTTTTAAGTGTTTGTCAAGTGTTGACAGTAATTCTGGTTTGACAAAGTCAAACTAGAAAAGAAATTTAAAATATCTCATATCCCAAATACATTTCAGTATGTATATTTTCTTTTTTAAGAAGGAGTCTCATGAAGCCCAGGCTGGCCTCCAACTTGCTATATAGCAGAGGATGACCCTTAGCTCCTGACCTGCCTACCTTCTAAATTCTGGAACTACAAGCTTGTACCCTGGTTTTATATAGCCCTGGGTATTGAGCGCACTGTGAATGGTAGTCAGGCACACTAGCCACTGAGAGCTACCTCCCTAGCCCCTAAATGTATACATTTTGGAAAGCAGCTATGGTCACCTATACCACCAATACAGATATTAGATGTATATTTTTAAAGAATTTATTATTTCTTCCATTTGGAGGAGGGGCAGAAATTCACACAAAGACCAAGAACCTAACTAGTAAAATTTCAAAAGACTAATATATACCTTAACCTCTGCTTAAACCAAAGCCACCTTTGCTGGTTCCTGGTTAACTTATTCTGTGTCTGTACCCAGCTGTACCGCAAGTGGTTTTAAGAGGCCAAAGGTAAAAGGTTTTTTTTTTTTCCCTTTTCTCTGTGAAGTTGCTACTGTTTGTTTATTTGCCTGTTTGATGTATATGTGAAACAATATTCAACAATAAACTAGAATTTTGTTACATACTCTGACAACAACAGAAAGAGAATATGCTTTCATGTCTCTATCAGCTGATACTGTTCCAGCTGATATTGCTCTTTGATTATCTTGAAATACTTGCCAGCTGATAGATGGAAATTTTTACTTCAGGGTTTTTAAACTATAAATTATGTGATCAAATATTGACAAATAGTGTTAGTTTACTGAATATGGAAAACATACCCTAGAAACATGCTTACTGCCCTCTAGAATACTCTAAAGTAAGCCCTTGATCTGTCTCTAGTTGAAGTTTTTTGTATTTACATACAACTTCTTATTGCTGTTGAGAAATATATAGTGTTTAGAGCTTCTGTATCTTATAATCACATTTTTCTTCCAGATCCAAAATAAACCAGAGAAGAAACCTGCAACACCACTTTCGCCTGCAGCCACCGTTCCAAGCAGCCCCCAGCCTGTCTCCCCTGTTCCTTGTGTGAATGATGTTGTGAATACACCATTGTCCATAAACATTCCACAGTTCTACTTTCCTGAAGGACTCCCAGACACCTGCAGTAACCATGAACAGGTCCTAAGCAGAATTGAAGCCGCCTTCATGGATGTTGAAGATCAGAAAGCAGATATTTATGAAATGGGGAAAATTGCAAAGGTAATAGAACTATGGAATAAATCTCCTTTTGCCAGCACTATCAGTATTCTCTCTCTTCACCGCCCCTTTGCTCCAGCTTTAAGCACAGGTTTTGATTTTGGTCTTCTTTTATGATGAAAAGTATTTGATCCTAATACATCTCTTTTTGTTTTGTTTTGGGGTTTTTTTGTTTTTTAATATTTTTATTTTAATTTTTATAAACTACACTTTATTTACTTTGTATCCCCCCATAAACCTCTCTCTCCTCCCTTCCCAATCCTACCCTCCCTCCCCTTCTCCATGCATGCTCCTCCCCAAGTCCACTGATAGAGGAGGTCTTCTTCTCCTTCCTTCTGATCCTAGTCTGTCAGATCTCATCAGGAGTGACTGCATTGTCTTCCTCTGTGGCCTGGTAAGGCTGCTCCCCCATCAGGGTGAGGTGATTAAAGAGCAGGCCAATCAGTTCATGTCAGAGGCAGTCCCTGTGCCCCATTACTATGGAACCCACTGGGACATTGAACTGCCTTGGGCTACATCTGTGCAGGGGTTCTAGGTTATCTCCATGCATGGTACTTGGTTGGAGTATCAGTCTCAGGAAAGACCCCTGTGCTCAGATTTTTTTGGTTCTGTTGCTCTCCTTGTGGAGTTCCTGTCCTCTCCAGATCATACTATTTCCCACTTCTTTCATAAGATTCCATGCACTCTGCCCAACAGTTGGCCATAAGTTTCAGCATCTGCTTTGATAGTCTGCAGGGCAGAGCCTTTCAGAGACCCTCTGTGGCAAGCTCCTAACTTGTTTCCTGTTTTCTTCTTCTTCTGATGTCCATCTTCTTTGCCTTTCAGGATGGGGATTGAACATTTTAGCCAGAGTCCTCCCTCTTGATTAGTTTCTTTAGTTGTACAGATTTTAGTAGGTTTATCCTATATTATATGTCTATATGAGTGAGTATATACCATGTGTGTCTTTCTGCTTCTAGGATAGCTCACTCAGGATCATCTTTTCCAGATCCCACCATTTACCTGCAAATTTCATGATTTCCTTGTTTTTCATTGCTGAATAATATTCCATTGTGTAGATGTACCACAATTTCTGTATCTATTCCTCAACTGAGGGGCATCTGGGTTATTTCCAGCTTCTGGCTATTACGAATAAAGCTGCTACAAACATGGTTGAGCAAATATCCTTATGGTGTACATGGGCCTCTTTTGGATATATGCCTAGGAGTGGTATAGCTGGATCTTGAGGAAGCGCTATTCCTTGTCATTTGAGAAAGCTCCAGATTGATTTCCAGAGTGGTTGTACCAGTTTACATTCCCACCAGCAGTGGAGGAGGGTTCCCCTTTCTCCCCAACCTCTCCAGCATGTGTTGTCACTTGAGGTTTTGATCTTGGCCATTCTGATGGGTGTAAGGTGAAATCTCAGGGTCGTTTTGATTTGCATTTCCCTGATGGCTAATGATGTTGAACATTTCTTTAAGTGTTTCTCTGCCATTCCATATTCCTCTATCGAGACTTCTCTGTTTAGCTCTGTTCCCCATTTTTTAATTGGATTACTTGATTTGTTGCTTTTCACAAAACTAAAGTCCAAGTGGATCAAAGACCCAACATAAAACCAGACACATAAAATCAGTTAGAAGAAAAAGTGGGGAAGAGCCTTGAACTCATTGGCACAGGAGACAACTGAACAGGACACCAACAGCACAGGCTCTAAGAGCAACAATCAGTAAATGGGACCTCATAAAACTGAAAAGCTTCTGTAAAGCGAAGGACATTGTCATCAAAACAAAATGACAGCCTACAGATTGGGAAAGGATCTTCACCAACCCTCTGACAGAGGGCTAATCTCCAGTATATATAAAGAACTAAACAAGTTGAAAAGCAACAAATCAAGTAATCCAGCTAATACATCTCTTAACAGTGCTCCTCCTCTTCTTCCTCCCCATCCTTCTCCTCCTTCTTTTTAACCATAGCTGACTTTGAATTCACTTTGTAGACTGGAATTTAGCAGTGTTTCCAGGCTGTGTACTTTAAAAGGTTATAGTGGCCTGAGAGCCACATGGAAGCAAGTAGGAGATCGAAGAATGCCTGAGACCCCGCGTACACTTCCACTTAGGAGGAATAATTATTTTTAATTTGAACAGTTTTATTGTTTGAGATAAAGAACTACCTTCTCTTTGTATTTCAGTGTCTCCCAAGTAAGGCCCTACAGAAACTCTAAAACAGCCTAATACCTGTCTGTTTTATGAGCCTAACTCTCTGACCTGCTCACAAGTGTAGGTACATTTCAGTCTCCTGCCTCCCCTTTGCGATGGATTTCCACTGCGCCCAACCTGCCTAGCATCTACTAAAGACCTCCCTTTCATCCTTGCAAAAGTGCACTAATAATCATGCCCCACCCTCTTCCCTAACTGGCAGTACTGAGCTTCTTTTGTTGCTCTTAAGTGGATCACAACTAGAGTGATTTGAAGAAACTAAAAAGTTTTTGGGTTTTTTTTTTTCTTATTCTTTCATTACCCTCTCCCCATGTTAGAACTTACTTGATATTTTTTAGATGTTTCTAACAAAAATCTCTACTCCAGAAACAAGAGTTTACCTGTCTTCACTGTTTTACCTTGCAGAAATTAGTTCCACAAGACTTACTAAAAGTCATAGAATGAGTTCATGTAAGGAAACAATTCCTCTAACTTCTAACATAATGTTGTTTGTATGTGCATTATGTCAATGAACATACATCAAATAAGCCAATCTTGGATAAACAGCCATCTAAATTAGAGGTTCTCTTTTTAGGGTATTGGGTTTCCTTACCCAATTCCCTGAGAAACAGCTATTGTGTTAGATGATAGACTGAATGAAGATGATAAGTTCTTTGACTATGCTAAAGCTACAGAACTAAATATAAAATACAAAATTTAGCTAGGATAAGTTAAAATCTGCATTTGCAAGTAATTTGTAAAAACCAAAACTCCAGAAACCAGGGGAAGCATCTATAAAGAAATTTCTTTATAGATATAAATATAATTTATATACATATTTCTTTATAATATATGTACCTATTTCTTAAGTAGGAACAGTTTATGAAGGAGTTAGAAGCACTACAGATGCTAACCAGAAAAAAAAAAGAAAGAAAGAAACCAAGTCCTGAAATAGGTTCCAGAAACTACCACCAGGTAAGTTAGAAGCAGCCAGAAAATGGTTGCCAGATTAAAGCTAAGAACATTTTTATAGACATTGGAAAAGAAAAGCACTGTGACAAAGGACAGTGCAAAGTAGGGATAGTTTTAAGGTAGAAAGGTCATCTGGATTACTAGGCTAACTGTCAAAAAAGTTTTTAAATAAACAAGGCTGGTTTGTGATAAACACACACACTGGTCTTTATAATTAAGTTTGTTAGAATATCTTGGAATTTTTTATCAGATGTTGATGGTACATGTCAAATGCGTATTTCTTAAGTAGGAACAATTTATGCCCACTGGAATGCTTCCAATGGGCAAATAAAGCTAAACTGTTTCAGATATGCAGCTGGGTCCTCTGTGTCTAGAGAGCTCTATGGTGGTTTGAATGAGATGGTTCCCATAGTCGTGGGCATTTGGATACTTAGCCCCCAGTTGAAGAAGGTGTTTGGAAGATTCAGGAGATGTGTGTCAGGATGGAGTATGTCATTGGAGGTGAGCTTTGAGAATATAAACCCTGTCATTTTCTAGTTCACTCTCTCCGCTTCTGCTTGAGGTTCAAGATAGACACTCTCAGCTTGCTCCCTGAGCCACCATGCTTCCACTCTGCCATAATGGACTCATTCCTCTGGAACCTTAAGCCTAAATAAACTTTTCTGTGAGTAGCCCTGGTTGTGGCATTTTATATCACAGTGCCAGAAAGTAACAAATACAAAAGTCCATCCCAGAAATGAGTCCCTCATGGCCACAATCCTGTAGCTTATCCTGGCTTGAATAAAGATTTCTGGACTAATCCTCTTCTGAATATTACCAGCTCCCTGACTGAGGAGCATGTTGACGCTGTTCCACACAGCCTTCTCCTTTAGTAGCACTGTCCTGCTCCCTGGACAGGCATCCTGCCAGCCCTGTACAGACTCAGTGAGAGGGAAGTAGAGTAATGCCTAACATCCCATAACATCATCAGAGGCCATGTAGACAGAGTAGAGTGAAGACAGGGAAGGGTCCTTTGGTGTTGGGAACCAAAGAAAGGACTCCACAAGTTATATGATGTGACTATCAGTCCATATGTGGTATCATGTATACTTACCTGTATTAAAGCCAGGCATGTGGATGAGTTTTAAAAATAAGGCTGTTTTCTTTTGATAAGTATTTGTTTAACTGTTTACTGTTTATGCTAACAATCATATGGCACAGTAGCCATTTTACACATGTATTATTAGATTCATTTGATGATAGCCCCAAATTCCATTTTTAGAGGCCAAATCTGTTAACTGCTCTAAGACATTAACTGTCAGCTTAGACAGCAAGATATGCTGAAATGAAGGTATGTGTGTGTATGTATGTGTGTGTGTGTGTGTGTGTGTGTATATATATATATATATATATATTTACTTCAAAAGTTATTTTGAGCCAGACATTATAACACATGCCTGTGATCCCATTATAGTGAGACAGTCTTGACTTCAAGTCCAATGTGAGCTGTAAAGCAAAACTCTCAAAAATCAAAGTCATAATTGTGTTCATTTGTTTTGCTGACATTTTGTTGTTGTTGTTGTTGAGACCTCTATAGGACAAGCTGTACTTAAACTTGTTTGGTTTTTATGCTGTATCAGGTATTTATATTAAACTTTGCCTCTTTATTAATATTTACTTAGTTTGTTGTGCATGTGTGTCCACAGAGGCCAGAAGAGGGAGAGCATCAGATTTACCACAGCTAGATTTACAGGTGGTCGTAAGCCACCTGATGTGAGTGCTGGGAACCAAATGTATCCTCTGCAAGAGCAGTATGTTCCTTAGCCACCTATCTAGCCCTGCCTCTTCATTCTTAAAACCACTTATTTTAAAAATTTGTTTGTATCTTTCAGCCACCCCCTTTTATTTAACCTAGCTTTTCCTTGGCTTCTGTTTCTTGGCACGTAACTAAATTGTGTTTATCTTCAGCATTCTTTACTAAGTGTCTTTTCTTGCCGTGAGGCAGTCAACTGTGCCTCTAGCCCTTACTGCCCATTGTCATACAGCAGGTTAGTGTAGGACAGGGAGAAGAGAGGCTGCCATTAAGGAACAGGGAGGGAGGAGATTGTCAGGGCAGTAAATGAATGTTTATGGATTCTTGCAGTTTATAAAAATGTTTGGGAAACCAGCTTATGTTTGTAACCCCCTCTTAGTGGCGCTTAAGTGTAGCTATAAAGATTGGAGTCAGATTTTTAAGTGCATAGAAAACCGTATTTATGAAATCAGCATCTGTTGGTATAGTTTAGCCTGTTCATCTTAGACCTCACACAGCTACAAACAACTTAATGTCTATTAATGTCTGGTTAAATTTTTAGTGTGTACTTTATAATTTTTTTTTACATATCTTCAAGTGATGATAGCAAAAAAAATAAATAGAAAATAAACCTACCAAGGTAGTGTAGATATAGAAACTGAACAACAGAAAGAAAAGCATCTATCAGATAATGACAGGGACTCTGGTATGAAACTGCAGAAAAGAATCAAACTCTCATCTGGGTCATGCAAAGCCCTTGGGCTTCTCTCTCCTGGGGGGTGTGGCACCCTCTGAACCAAGTGTGCCTTGTGCCTTCTAGGGGAGCACCTTTGTACTTAAGTTTCTTCTTCTACAAAGTAGGATAAAAAAATAAAATACCTACTCTCTTCTGAATGAGAAATCATGTGAGCACCCAATAAAATAACAGCCTTGAGAACACTTTAAAATATTGAAAAAACATGACAGATATTAAATAATCTTCTGTGTATATCAGAAGAACCTGTTTTAGATTCTTATTGTTGTTAGGACATTCTTAGATCAAATTATAAGAGTTAGTGAAGTTTTCTGTTCTCAAATTATTTTAATTACCATATTCTTACTTTTGCTTATTCTGAAACTATTTTACGTAAATATATTTTCCGTATCACTTGTCACCCATTTTCTTCCTTTAAAAAAGAAAAAGTATCACACTGGTTTACTCTTTCTTGTGTTACTAAAAACCCTGTAAGAAGCACTCAGATTTATGTAACTTACTTTCCAAATCCTTACTGATCTCTGTCTCTCTTTACCCTAATTCATTTACTTCCAGTAAATGTAATCAACCGTGTGCTGTGTGTTTCTTTAAAATAGTCATAGTATAGGTCCCCAGCCCTTGCCATCATTACTTTTCCTGGTTTTTTTTTTTTTTTCTTCCTTTGCTGTTGTCTGCTAGGGCCTGATATCCTTATGCTGCCTGACACTTGGATACTTAGGTACTGTGAGAAAAAGATGACCTTTTCTAATCTATTTCAAAGCATTTTCATTATTATATTTTATCTTCGGGGTTTTGCCTTTGAATCATAATGAGTTCGTGTATTCATGTCTTGCTGACTTATACTACTTCTTATGAACTGACATACCTGCACTTTAACAGCAGTCAGAGAGAGAAAGAAAAAAGACTATTTTTCTCCCTTCACTTACAGACAGGACTTTTTCATGCCTTTCTGCATCATTATTTTCCACTAGTAATTTTTTTTTCTAGTCTGTGGGGTTTCTTTTTAATTCTTTTTCATGCAATATTTTAATCTTGTTTTTCCTCTCTTATAACTCCTCCCATATCCCAGCCCCCCACACTTTATGTGCTCTGTCTCAAATAAACACACGCATACACATGCACACACACACACCAAAACTCAAAACAAACAACCAAAAGACCAATAAGACAAAATGCCAAAAGGAAACAAAAGGTCCACCACAAAAACAATGGAGTTCGTGTGCGTTGGCCAACTACGGTAGGTGGAGGGCTTGTCCTGGAGTGTGGTTGACATACTCATTGGTATTGGAGAAAATGATTTTCCATTTGCCATCAGCTATCAATTGCAAATACGTTGTTGGTTAGGGGTGGGACCCTGTGTCTACCTACCCGTCTCAGTACCGGGACTTCATGTGTCTTGGACGGGTGTGGGTTGGACGGGTGTGGGTCTCACGTGGTGTGCTGCCACAGTCTCTGTGAGTTTATACGAGCATCACTCCTTTTGTATCTGAAGGCCCTGTTTCCTTGAAGTCACCCAATACTTCTAGCTCTTAAAGTCTTCTGTTCCCTCCTCTACGTAGATCCCTGAGTCTTCAGAGGAGGGCTTTCATAAAGACATCCCATTTAAAACTGAGTGCTCCAAAGTCACTCACTGTCTGCACATTGTCCACTAGTGTTAGTTCTCACTACTGCAAGAAGCTTCTCTGATGATGGTTGAGTGATGCACTGATCTACGGGCATAGCAGTATGTCATTAGGAATCATTTTATTAATGTGTTTTTTTTAGCAAAATAATAGCTGGAAAAATCTTGACCTCTTCTAATTCTGAAAAATTCGTGATTGATTCAAGTGGTTAGAGTTTCAAATTTTTTGGAAAGCCACTTCTATCGTGGCTTTCTTTTTCTGTTGCTGTAAAATGTTCTGATAAAAAAACAACAACAACAACAACAACTTGGGAAACCACCACACTAATTCCAAGAAACTCTAAAGTCCATTCTGCTTATGAAATAAACTTCATTGTTCCTGGAGGCAGCAGTCTCTTATTTCTGCATGTTATGTTTTTACCACATCTTCATCTCTAGCATGAACTAGGAACTGTCTTTGGCTCTCCCAGAATAATGTCCAACTAGGTACTCCTCAGACTCCTCCAGGGGTTCTTCAGTACAGTTTCATACCAGGAGGAACTTCTCCTAAACCAAAGGTAGTCTACCTCCAAAGGAAAATCTTCCCTCTGCAGGACAGTGATGTACAATCAAAGCATCTTTTATCTTTTAACAAGAGGTGATCCTCCTTCTCAGAGTTCTAGAATAGAAACATGCTCTCCATATGTGTACAATTTTCTCTACAATTAGATTTTCTCTGCAAATATTTATGTGTTATTGGAGATAAATTTTCCCTTTAAGGAAAATTTGTCAGTTTATTAAGAACTCTTTCTTACAAGAGTAATTGGGTACTGTTTAAGAATTTTTAATTAAAAAGCAAAACGTTTATTAAGGAGAGGAAAAGCTGGTGCTTTTAGGGCCTTGGAGTTTATTCTAATTTCTTACTAAAACTTTTATAATGCATAGTTACTTGTGATCTTCTAATTTTAAATAAATGATAGCATTTTGTTTCTTACCTTTCATCTTTTACTTGATTTATAACCACTTAAATAGATTTGATAGCTGTTACCTTGCACAGCCTGGAGGATATCAAATCGTGTGTGTGTGTGTGTGTGTGTGTGTGTGTGTGTGTGTGTGTGTGTG